CGACAATATGCGTTTTTGCTGGCTGTAGCAGCGCTGTAGCGCTGCACAGCAAAAACGCATAAAAATAATAATTCATCCATGCGGACGTAAAAAATGAAGAAATTTTATGAAAGAGAAGATGGGGTCGTCATAAACAAAATGGCTAAGCTGATGAGTGAAAAACACCATTTATCGCAAAAGCCAACTACTAAGTGAAGAAACTGACATTGAACTTACTAGGAATTTATTGATCAAAAAAGAGTCAAAACTTTTCCTTATTCGATTTCTTTGATAACAACCAAACGCTGGTAGGTTTTCGATAAATTCCTCTTTCGAAAGCTACTTGAAATTTGATAGTGGATTCAGTTAAAATGTTAAACTAATTAAATTGCTTATTCGCTAGCAAACCGAAATTTGCCATATAAGTGAAAAAATCAAGGAAAATCAAGCAAAAACCACACCTGCACTTTGTGAGAAGTGTACATCCTCGCCGATTACATATTCCCAGTCATCAAGATTATCAAAATCAATAAACCATGCACAATAGTCTGCTTTTGTTTTGAAATTAATGGGAAAATGAAGATAATGATCAGTACCCAAGTCCCACAAATGTGGCCCAGCACTATTTGGTCTAAAAAAATCAATATTAATAATCCGAGACGCATAATTATATTTCTGTTATAATTGACAGAGACGGTAAAGAGGAAGAGAAACCTGTAGAGGCCAAGGAATAAATTGATTGCATTCTGCTTATCATAATCACCAAATGTATTGCTATAATACCTTGATAAGGTCTGAATAACATCACGACTTCTTTCCTAAACAGCACATATTTATGCACAGTCCTACATTTTCCTTAAATGTTATCAACTGAAAAAATAATAATAACAACAACAATAATGATAACAACAGCAATAATAACAACAGTCATAAAAATGCGCAAAATATTGAATGATTTAGAAAATCTGGGTGTTTTATAGAACAGATCTGAAGAAAAATAGTATTGATCGATAACGAAAGCGCAAGAACTTATTTGCAGGGAATATTTTTAGACGAAATAAGAGTAAGATTTGTTCGGGCTCTCAACACAGTGACAGATAAGCATGCCTGTATGATTGATGTCTTTTTATAAGTTTTGATGGAGTGAACAAGCTGAGATCCGGCATACTGCAATGCTAACGTGTCACCATGCTGATCCACTAAATCCTCGTACATACGACAAACTTCGCTCGCTGGAGAAAGTACTGGTTCACCAGCAAATCCCATCGAATATAACTGAATTCCAAGAGCTACCTTTCCTAAAAAAAAACTTTAATAAAATAACTAAACAAACATAAAAGAAGCTCTGTGTCTGTTTGTAAACTAGCCTTAGGTGTTATCTTCCAACCTAGGGAAAGCAAAATTAATTACCGATTCCAAACTGGGCAACGTTTGTTCTGTCTAGACAATCCACACAATTTGTCCTGGAAATACCATGCTGCAATAGGAATCTGCCATCCATACTGCACATCGGTTCATAATCATTCAGCAACAAATTTGGCCTTACCCTGTGACAATACAGCATCGGAAACGACTGAAAATTGCTACCAACTTTAAAGATTCATGCACTGGTCTATGAAGCTGTTATTCAATTCCGCAAAATGTTTCGAATTTTTAACATATAATTCGAAAATGACTGAAAGATTTCAACAATCACAATTTGCAGCATGAAAATATGAGAAATCTCAAAAATGCAAGACAGGATCAACTACACATTATGTGTGATTAACAAAAACCATAACCCTCGTCTGTATTCTTTCTCCATAAAAGACGATAACACTCGGGAATTGGTGCAAATGGTAATAAATGCCAGCAGGAACTATCTGTTGATAAGACTGCCAATGGCTTGCTCTTTCCAGAGTTCGTTAGAAATAAGCTGATGGCAGTTTGATTTCTTGGCATATGCCAGTACCAATTTACCATCGAAACGAATAAATGAATCGTAAAGGGATCAGTTCTCCCGCTCGTCTTACTGCACCACATCAGTGCTATTTCTTACTGTGTCATGCTCGCTAGTTTAAACGATTACATACTGCAAAAATAGAATGAAACATAATAGATATATTCAGTGATTATTTTACTTGAAACCAGCCATGTCGAATCACGGAGCGAAAGCCAATTTCTTCGAGTTTGCTCAAAACGTTTCCGCTTTTATGACAGCGAGCCACATCGAAGCTTAAATACGCAATACGTTCCGCCCGTGGCAAAAACATATTCAAATATTTCACGGCCTGAAAAAATTTATAGCACTGCAGAAGTACAAGAAATGCATTGCTAACCACAAAAAACGGAAATTAACCTTCAGAAACTGGTCGTGGAGCAAAGCTTCGTGCCTTCGTTTCTCTCGTCTTTTCACCAAATTCATTACAATTAGTGGGCTACCGTACTTCTGTTTCAACTCGCTGCAACAGTCTACTCGTTTTTTGACAAAGTAAAAGTTCAACGCATCAATTCATCAACAACAGCGAATACGGCCAAAAAGTTGAGAGTCAAATTTGAGTCGTGAAGGTATACGGGGCAGCTAGAGAAGAAGGGCGCCAGTCAATAGTGAGAGCTTTCCCCTTCCGGATGTTATTATGAAATATGTTAAAGGTAATTTTAATTCCCCAATGCCAACAGCAAATTAACATCCAAAAGAATCATGGAGAAAGTAGTTTACCACGAGAGGATCAAACCACTAACATAACTGCAAGTTCGGCAGCTATGCATGATGTGATTTTGAGAAGCTTATTTCAGTGGCATATTAAAAGTGTCAGGACTCTCCTCAACGAATTATGTTCCTCCGGCCTCGGTCGTGAATAAAAATTCCGCTCTGGCAATGCAAGCATCATAAATCAGATGGAATATCTGTATTTTCATGTGCTTCAGTGCTATCTTCGGGACTCCTGGCATTAAATAATTGTAATTTCGTTAAAAAAAAATGTTACCGAAAATGCGCAGCAGCAGTTTGTGCGTGTGGCTCATTAATGTCAATTGAAATGACTGGTTTACCAACGACGCCACGTGTAGCCGGATCTTGGCTCCATATCAATGGTACCGAACCTCGGCGTTGCACAAAAGCGCTAAATTTGCCATGTTTGAAATCCGGCGATGAACGAGTATCCCAGACTATTTGTTCCGTTTCAACATCATTTGCCACTTGCCCTAAAATCAACCAGTAAGTACTGGGTAAGTCGATTCTGCGACAAAAAAAAGAGGATCGCATAAGAGTAGTGAGAGGGAACTAGGCACAGAGATTATGCATAACTGATAATTTACCTTGATCTGTTATAGGGCTAATTAACTAAATTTTGGCAAAGCCTTTCTGTTTCCTAGATGACAGGCATATAAAGTCATTTTTCGACCGACGATTCGCAACCATCCTTGATAACGGGACATAGAACACAGCAAAGAATCAAGGTTTAACAGAACCTTTGAAATTTGCACCGCGCTTCAAATACCTCGTACCGGCATATTCAGCCGAACGGCGGCCAATCAATGTTAACGATAGGCGTGAACAAGGCAGTTCAATAATTTGCTGGCCTAAAAATTATACCGATCTGTAGTGAAAATCAGTACTTTCAAAGCAGTCAAGTAACTGGTGCTTATATTTGGTTTTCCCACTTTTTTATGGTCAATTCGAACTCTCAGGAACAGCTTTTACCATTAAAAATTTTACCTTTAATTCTTCAATTCCCTCATCATCAGTCAGCATGGAGTCCTGTATTAATTCATTACTTTGCTAATTTAAACTTTCGTTTTTCACTGTAACACGCACTTCGAAACAAAAAATTTTCGCGGGTGTCTTTTAAGATTTTGGACAGCTGCAACTACTCCCGTAATAATCACTCATTTTTATGCGTTTTTTGCAGCTATGCAATGCAAAAACGCATACTGTCGAGGGGTTGTCTGTGTGTG